AAGTAAACTCATTCATAAAGTGGTACATTTTACGGTTTTTAACTCGCGTTTCAATTTATACCTTCACACGCACTTTTCTTCACGCACTGCAAATGGTTTGCCATGGGAGTGTGTCAACAAGTGTGATTGTGATGCCATCTGATGTGACCTCTAAGTCTCACCTCTTTCTCTTCTGATGCAGTCGCCTCTCACCAATTAGCTTTAGTCTTGTGACAAAAGGAGCATAAAAATGAGGGCTACTGCAGCTGAGCAAATGCACCACCTCTGACATGCAGCTCTTTCTCTTCAATAGCGTACTTTTACTGGAGGCGCTTCTACCACTCTCTATTCTGCGCTACGGTAAGTTACAAATTGCCTTATGTTATCGCATCTTGCTCAGGCTCCACCATCGAGTCCATAATTGACAGCATCCTGAAGGATGCACCTCAATACTTGGCCAAACACGCCAAAAAGTTCCATGTGGAATCTGTTGAAAGCTTTGCTCGCTCTTGCCCTGTTTCATTCTACGAGACCTTGGTCAATGGAGTGGTAATTTATACCCTCGGGATTTGCATCGATGCATCATAGTTAGTCATAACTCCTCTCTCTGTAGTAAGTTATGTACACCATACTGTGCCATATTTATTTCATCTTCCTCTTTTTTTCTTCGTCAAAAGACTACAGCTTACAATAGTGAACTACAATTCCATAAATTTAGCGTTTAAATGCTCCAATCATGGACTGTTTGCAACCAAAATATTTTGCTCGTTTATTCCGATGCAAAACTTGCAATCATGCTATCAAACTTCTCCCACATTTCCTTCTACTTTTTGAGGGCAACGGAGTTTTAGTGTTCCAGACAATCTAAAGTTAATTCGCTAGTTCGCCTGACATTTGAAATCAAAGTCCTACAAGTTGCACATTTTAGATCGTGACGAAAGTGGAAATTAGGAGAATAAAGTTGGATGCTTCTGTACGCTTGAAAAAGACCGTGCATCCTGTGGTCAAACTTGAATCGTCAGCACCGGTTTTCCAAGATGCATATATCTATACGAAGTGGTTCCTAACAATACCAGCTAAAGTATTATCATCAGCCAAGTACAAAACATTGATTAAAAGTAGGCTTCAGACCGTCATATTTGCCCTCGGATAAACGCCTTGCGTGCATTCCATCATTCAGTCTCACCTCGACTTCCTTTTATCACATCTATTCTTCTACTTTCACAATTCCTTATTGCAGTCACCGTGCATCTTTTTGTGGTAAATATTGTGTTATTGCATGCCTACCTCAGTAACGCCTGCAATCCAAATAGCTTCTACCTTTTGCAAGCAGATCAGTCCTAGCCTTAGGCTTTGAAACCTGATTCAGTGTCAATAGCCTTGGAAACCTAGATACATGCATTAAAGAAACGTTGCGATGTAATGCGTTAAATCATGGCATTGTGTAGGTAGCCAGGACCAAATGTGTGAGCATGCCCTCTGATCAACTTTATACGACTTGAATTCCGACACCGTTCATCTGATTTCCCGTAGCTTGTTATCCATGAATCATTAGACTCTTAGTAAAATTTAGTATGCTATTTCG